AGTCCGCTCAAGCTCCTGACGCATAGGTCACGTTAATTTTAGTCGCCGAGCTGGCGACTTGCATTCTAATTTAGTCGCCAGCTCCAAAATTCTAGTCGCATGGTGCCTAAAATGGTCGCAACTTGGAGGGTTGGTTCTATTAAGGCCCAGGCACCAGGCAAATTGACTAGCTGTGAGGAAGACTTTGCCTGCCTAGTTTGACCTTCTAGAGAAAAGTTGTCTTACAACAAAGTTCAGTTCAAAAAGTTTTGCCCGCCTGTGAAAACCAGTTGCCCTACTACTGAAAATGTTAATGAAAACTCTGTATTACTGAAAGCACAAGTTATAAATATGCTACTTTACAGCATTTTGCACCACACATATCCTGATTTAAGACACAAAAATCAGTCAAAGTCAGTGTGGTACACTGACTTCTTTAGCTGTCTTACAGATAGGCCCGTTTAAAAGCCTAATGTAAATTAGCCAGTCATTTGGTATACACGTACCAAGTATACCATGCTGGTTCATGGGTTTACTTGGTATATAAAAATTATCAATAGTACCACTGATTAATAAGAATCATTATCATGTGGCTGTGTCTCACAAGGACTGGGAACTACCGAATTCACAAATTTGATTGGCTGAAATCGATATTGAAAGTGGTCTAGATTTTCCCATCTACACTGGCATCTAGACCAGTAATGTTGTGCAGCTAAAAAGTTGCACACTAGAATGTAAAAATATTGACTATTTTCTACAGACAATATTTATCTAAGGAAGTCCCAAAAAACCTTATGAGAAAAAAAAAAACTAAAGAGAATGAGCAAACTTTGGCAGAATTAATTTCAGCTCATCGCTGTTCGCAAGCAAAATGTCAGTTAGTACAAACCAGTTACATTAAACGAATTAAATTGTTCTTGTTTGCCGTATAATAAACATCTTATTAACCAAGCTTAGTCGGTCTGTATGGGAGAATCTTGACCTCGGTCTGTACTCACGACCTTGGTCAAGATTCTCCCAAAAGACCTCCTGCTCAGTTACCATAATAAGAGCTAAGTTAAAGAGGGGCAGTTACAAAAGAATTTAATTTAACCTTGGTTCCTTGAATAAACATCATATGATCACAGACCGACCTAGACCCAGCATTTATTTAGGGCATGTCATCAAATCAAGGAAGAAGGATAAGTGATAAAATGACAAATGAAAGGTTTTTTTGATAAAACAATGTTACAAAACACCATTTATCAAACAAATTACCCCAGCAGAACTTAAAAAAAAAAATCTTAGATATTGCAATTGTATTATGACTAATAATAAAATGCAAATTTAGAAAAAATTACCAGTAACAATCAAAACAAAATACTTAGCGTCTCAGAAGATCGATATGTAAAAATCAACAAAATGACACCATTTGTGCAA